TGTTTTTCCATTTCCTTGTTTTCTGTTCTCTTTGTGTAGGAGTATGGGGTGGTGGTGGTACTATAGGTCTAGTGGTGGTATCGTTGTGTAAAAGGGTATGCACTTTTGGGGCATAGTTCAGAATTGCTTTCCAGAATGTCTGGATCAATTCTTGGCTCCACCAACAGTTATCTTAGTGTGCTTGTTTTCCCTTAGCCCCACAAACGACTGTCACCTTTCCCTTGTTGTCTTTGCCAATTTGAGGGGAGTAAAGTGGAACCTCAGGTTGGTTTTAATTTGCATTTCTTCATTAGTTTTCTGGAGCAATTTTTTTTATGGCTATCAAGAGCTTGGCTTTCTTTTTTTTTTTGAAAACTTCCAATTAATATCCTTTGATAAATTGGGGAATAGTTTGTTTCCATATATTTAAATCAGTTCCTTATTTAAGCTGGAAATGAGACTTTCTATTAGAACTTGCTACAGAATTTTTTCCCCCAGTTAATTGTCTTCTATTTAAGCATTATTGATATTATGTTTTAGCTCTTCTAGCAATTCTTGTTGGGCTTGTGTCCAATTCACTTTTTTTCTTTGAGAATTTGCTCATGGCTATTTTGATGTCATTGTCTTCTGATTTTGTGTCTTTATCTTTTCTGTCACCTTAGTAGCTTTTTATAGTTAGGGTTTTTTTTTTTGCACATTTTTTCAGCCTTATTGATTTTGGACTTTATGTTAAAGATAGGCTATGTTCCTTTCATTGTTCTGGGGGTTTGGAAGTTTTCAGTGCTTCCAACATGATGTTATCTGAGAAGAGGTGTGGTCACTGCTCTCCAGATCTGGGCTTTAGCCCTTATCCAGAAAAGGCTCGCTGTAGTCCTTATCCAGAAAAGGCTCCTGATCCCTTGCAACCTCAAGAAATATTGTTCCTGAGGGTTCCTGCTTCCTCGTGACCAAATGTGTTCCTTTCTGCCCTTGCACTGTGACCTAGAAGTAGATGCAGGGAATGGAATTGCCAAACAGCATCCAGTCCTGTACCCAGTGCTAGCAAAGGTATGTGCTGTTGTCTCTTTCTGACTGATTGCTGCATCTCCTTACTTTTGCTGGTTTGGTTGCTCCTGAAGCTACTGTTGCTGCTGCTGCTGTCACAGCCACTTCCATGGCTGGTGTTGCCATTATGTGGACTCTGGACCAGGTGTTGCCCCAGTGTCACAGATCTCTCTTTCTGACCTTCTAAATTGTCTTGGATTTGAAAAAATGACCTTTTTTGGCTTTGCCATTCCAGAATTCAATTTGAGGCATTATTTTAAAGTTGTTTGGAGGAGAATGTTGGGAGAGCTTGACTGTAATGCTTCCTCTACTCTGCCATGTTGGCTCTGCCCCCAGATGTCTGTCCATAGAACTGAAAGGAAATTTCTTCCTTTATCTTCCAATTTGTTTATGATATGACCTTTTATATCTAAGTCATGCATCCATTTAGAATTTTGGTATGTGGTGGGATATGTTGGTTTAAACTTGATTTCCACTATACTACTGTCCAGTTTTCCCAGCAGCTTTTATAGAATAGTGAGTCCTTATTCAAGGGCTGGGGTCTTTGAGTTTATTAAGCAAGAGGTTACTAAGTTCATTTGTGGTTTTTTTTGTTCTATTTTATACGTAGATTTGCTAATTTTTTTCTTTTGGTATTGGTTAGTCTCAGAATAAACAGAAAATTAAAAGAAGAAAAGGCAAAAGAACATTTAAAATGTGTAGAATATTCCTGGATGGTCAAGTAAGAAAATGAATACAAAAGCATGGTCCAATTACTTAAAGATTTCAGGTTTACCAAAATTTAGATTGAGGTGAGATTATTGAGGAAAACTAAGAAAACAAAGTTTTTTTTCTTCTTTTTTTTTTTTTTTGCTTTATTGATAAATAAGGGAAAATAAGTGTGGTTTAGGACTTCTGTTCAGGGTAGATAGGACCATGAGAATGGATAATAAAGAGAAGGCATTGCTGCTCAGGTTTTTAAAGAATTAGGATGTATTTTATTTGGACATAGTAGATACTTCTGAACAAATACCCGAACAAAAAGTAATAAAAAGCAGATTTTCTGAAAACTATTTATCAGTTATTAGTGGAAAAGAGGGATGTGTCCTTTAAATTTGAGTAATAGACAAATACATCATTGGCTGTTATATTTGACAAGATTAATTATTACTTTTTATCTGTTGACTCTGTTGAGGAGAATGAACTTTGGGATGGGAAGACAGAATGAAAAGGGGTACTTGTTGATATCCAAGAGAAGTAGGGAGATAATAAGAGGACATCTTTCTGTCCTTGATGATTTCTAGTCACTAGTCCTAGATTTAACTGTATTCAAGGGTACTAAGTGAATGGCCAGATGTGATTGCCAAGCCCACTGTCAGTAATTTTTTAAAGATGATGGAGAATAGGGAGCTGAGGAAGAATAAATATCTTTCCAGTTTTCGAAAAAGAAAAGATAATCCAATCTGCAGACTATTGGTCACTGAACTTAAATTCAATTCCTGGTAAAATTCTTGAGTGTAATTAAAAAAAAAAAGAAAACCCCTCCTTTTTGTTTTTTATGTTACCTACATTTACCTCATCTTCTTCCACTCAGAGAACTCATCTTTAAAGCACAGAATACAGAAGAAAGAGAATAAAACACAGTTTAGTAAAACTCACTAATACATTAACTGATTCCTAAATTACATGCAGTGTTCCACACTCACAGTGCCCAACTTCTGCAAAGAGGGGAAGGAGGTGCATTCTTATCTCTCTTCTTTGGAACCAGACGTGGTCTAAAATTACTTTCCATCTACTCTATTTATCTTATATGTACCTATTTACATATGTATTATCTCTCCATTAAAATGCACGTTCCTGGAAGACAGCAACTTTTTGCCTTTAAAAAAATTTTTGCCCCCAGTATTAACACAGTGCCAACAATGCTTTATCAAGAAAAAGTCATGCAAAATGAATTGAATTTCCCTTACAGAATTACTAGACCAGGGGCAGCTAGGTGGCGCAGTGTGGATAGAGTACCGGCCCTGAAGTCAGGAGGACCTGAGTTCAAATGCGGCCTCAGACCTAACATTGACACTTACTAGCTGTGTGACCCTGGGCAAGTCACTTAACCCCAATTGCCTAAAAAAAGAAAAAAAAAGAAATACTAGACCAAAGACCTGGAGAATAATGTAGATATAGTTTACCTAGGTTTTACATTTTACGAAAGCATTTTTTAAAGTATCTGAAGTCTACAAGTATTTATTACATGCCTACTATGTGAAAGGCTCTGTGCTAGATACTAGGGATACAAAGTTGCTCACATTCAACTGAGGGAAACAATATGTATGGTCATAGGTAAATGCAAAAAATGTATATGAAGTTAAAAAGATGAAAATTTGGGCTAGATTCTAGTATAGGTAGGTATATTCCTACTGTTTGCATGGCCAGACCCAAAGAATAGTAATTAGTGGTTTGATGACAACTTCAGAAAAGTCTTCAGTGGAGCACTATGCCATAGATCTCTGTTTGGCACCATGTTTTTTTTAACGTTTTATTCACTTACTTGGAAAAAGACATAGGAAAACCTCATTCATTGGATTATAGAGTTGGGATCCAAAAAGATTGTGACAGACTAACTGGGCTTACTCCAAAAAGATGAAATTTATTAGGGATAAATGTAAAGTAATATGCTTTGGTTTCAAAAAACAACAATACAACTTTCCAGAAAAAGATGTGGTTAGGTAGTAGTTTGTCCAAAAAAAAATGGGAGTTTTGGTGGACAGTAAGTCTCAGAGCAATAGGTAGAATTTGTAAAGAGATAAGCTGGGTCTTTAGTTAAGGAAAATCTCCTAACAGCTAGAACTGTGCAGACGAGCAATAGACAGCCATTGAAGGTTCTGGGTTCCTCTTTACTTCAAGGAATGGCTAAATGATCTCTTGTTTGGTATCCAACTTGAGGGGATTTATGGTCAGGTATGAATTTGACTAGATGGCCCTGAATTCCCATTCAATTCTTAATTTATCTTACTTTATGATGAATTAAGGAATGAGATTTTGTCTGAAATACTAGGCCAGCTCCACAGTTGGCATTTATACCTAAAAGAGGTTGTTGACCTCTCTTCAGACTAAAATTATTGAGTGTCAGGGTCAGTTTTTTTTTCTTTCTTATTTTCAGGCAGTGGGGTTAAGTAACTTACCCAGGGTCACACAGCTGGTAAGTGTCAAGTGTTTGGTCTGAGGCCAGATTGGAACTCAGGTTCTCCTGACTCCATGGCTGGTGCTCTATCCAGTGCACCACCTAGCTGCCCCCGTTAGGGTCAGTTTAAAATAAAGTATGACTCAAATGCCTGTTAATTAGGAAGTGTAATGGAATGTTGCTGCATTGTCAAAAGAGGAAACCAAAGAATTTTGGAGAAACATGGCAAAACCTATATGAACTGGTGCAGAATGAAGTGAGCAAAGATAGGAAAACTTTACATGACAGCAAAACTGAAATTGAATGATATGTGATTTTAATGATTAAGATTTAATAATCTCCTTTCAAACGTATTAGATAATTGGTAGAATATTTCACATTGTCACACTGGGACAATACGTGTTGGTTAGTTTTTCTTAACTGCTTTATATTCTTTTTCTTTATTCTTAGTTACAAGAGTGTCTTTGTAGTTAGGTAAGGAGATAAATTGCAGAATAAAAGTGAGATAAAAACAAAAAATGAATATTTTTTTTAAGTACCACAAACTTTTCATATAAAGTTTGAGCCTGCTTATCTGGTTTTTACCCATTTTATTCCTTTATAGGAGTTAGGGGAAAAGTGAGACTCAGAATATTCCAAACCCATTTTAAATTTTCTACTGTATTGGATTTAATCATAGTATGGAGTTAAGCTTAATTATCAATAGATGTTTTCTGTATTGCAGACAAATTAAAGTTATAATAATTTTCTTGTTAATTTTTAATAGAGAAAATCTCAATTTGAAATGGTAGAACTAATTTAAAATAATTTATGTTTTAAGGAACCAAGTGACAATGGACCACTTTTTACGGAATTAAAGTTCTACCAGAGAGCTGCTAAACCAGAGCTAAGTAAGATATTTATTATATATTTTTTGTGAATTTTCTTTTCATTTGTCAGTTCTTTCTATATTACCTGAACCCAGACTACATCTTATTTTATTATAAAACTTTTATTTATTTTTACATATTTTTTTCTATTGCCTCTAGGATCAAATATGAATTTGTTTGTTTAGGTCTTAATGACTTACACAACTTGACCCCAGCCTTCCTTCCTAGTTTCATTTTATATTACCCCCCCTCCATATTTTGTGATCTAGTCAAATTTGCCTTTGCTAGGGATACACATACAAAATTTTCCAAAACTGCTTCAGGGTAATAAGTTAACTCTCAATCTTTATATTCTTAGTTATTGATTTATTAACAAATAGTTTGATGTTTTTTTATTTACAAAGTGAATTTGTACATTTTTTGGTGAGAGGCTTTTATTTGTATTTACATATAATAAACTTTGGGTTTTTTAACTTGTAGTTCAAAAATGGATTCGTTCCCATAAACTGAAGTACCTGGGTGTTCCTAAGTATTGGGGTTCTGGACTACATGATAAAAATGGAAACAGGTAAAGATAAACATCATACATAGTATTTGGTGTAACTTTTTAATGATTAATTTTTTAAAACAGTAAATTCCTCCTATGACAATGCGTACTTGGTATGATGTTCATTAAGCTTGTCTATCTGTTTACCTATCCGACTTTCCACATAGAGGATTATGATATTTTATTTTGTCCAACTCTTTGTGACCCCCATTTGGGGTTTTCTTGGCAAAGATCCTGCAGTGGTTTGCCATTTGCTTCTCCAGCTCATTTTGTAGATGACAAAACTGAGTCAAACAGAGTTAAGTGACATGCTCAGGGTCACACCACTAATAAGTGTCTGAGGCCAAATTTGAAACTCAGGAAGATGAGTTCTTGACTTCAGACCTGGCACTCCATCCACTGCAGGAGTTCCAATGCTGAAAGTGAACTGAGGCTGGGAAGGTAAGGATACCCAAAAAAAAGCATTTGTTTTATTTTCTTTATTTTGAGCTCACGAACATAAATCTTCCTGACTCCAGGCCCAGCACTCTATCCACTGTGCCATCTAGCTACCCTGATATTTTATTCATATAATAATTATTTGTTTCATGGGTTAGAAACAAAAACCTGTCTTTTGAATACTAATAGTTTATAGGTTTATTTTATGGCTCTAAGACTTAAAATGCAATAATCTCTGAAAAATTCTCCCAGGTTATTATCTTTGACTCCTTACTCCCCTTTATCCTCCATGTCTAGTCAGTTGCCAAATTTTACCTTTCTATATCCACAGTATTTCTAACATTTGATCCCTTCTCTCTACTCACACAGCTCTCACCTTAGTTTAAACTTTGATCACCTCTCACCAAGATTATTGCAGTACTGTTCTAATTGGTTTTCTTGCTTCAAGTCTTGACATTCTACTTTGTCCTTCACACTGCTGCTAGAGTAATTTTCCTTAAGTACAAATTTGACTATGTAATTTCTGTCCTTAGTCAATGCCAAGGGTTTTCTATTGCCTCTAGAACAGCATTACTCTTGTGTTTATCTTTTAAAGCCCTTTATAATCTGGTCTAACCTATTTTTCCAGCATCATTGGACATTAATTCCCCTCTGGCACTCTCTGATCTAGCTAACACTTCATGTCTCTGTGTCTGAGCACTGACTATCTACATGCCTGAAATGTGCTCCATCCTTACATTATAGAGACCCACTCTTTTTTCTTTTTTAAATTTAGTATTTTATTTTTCCCCAGTGACATGTAAAAACAATTTTTAACATTCATTTTTAAAACTTTGAGTTCCAAATTCTCTCCCTTCTTTACTTCCCATCCCCTCCCTGCCATTGAGAAGCCAAGCAATTTGATATAGGTTACAGATGTAGTCATGCTAAACATCCATAATAGTTGTAAAAGAAAACAAACAGCAACAAAAACTAAAGAAAGTTAAAAAAGTGTGGTTCAATCTGCATTCAGGCACCATCAGTTCTTTCTCTGAGGATGGATAGCAATTTTCATCATAAGTCCTTCCGAGTTTCTTGGATCATTGTATTGTTGAATAGCTAAGTCAGGTCTTTTCCAGGATAGGGGAGTAAGAAGTAAGTTGCTCTGACCCTCCCTCATTGACTTCTGAAAGCTCAGAAAATAGCAACCCAGGAAAATCCTGAACTAGCAAAAAGACAAGGCACAGCAGTCTTGTATCCCAGGAAGCTTGGGGGATTAACAGGAAAGGCCTTTCTCACTCTAGGGGAGGAGGAGCAATACAGGATTGGAGATGTCCTAGCAAGCTCCACCTCAGCATACCAGGGGGAAATCCTGAGACTCAGGTTGGTGGAACAGGCAAGTGCCAACACCAGGACCCCTGAGAACCTCAATACAGGAAGGGGAATTGGTAGACACCAGCTTGGAAAATGACCACGTATAATGGCGATCTCCAGCAGTGAAATCACTTGGTGCCTCAACACAATTTTGGGAAGCATAACTCCAGAAAGAAAGCTCTAGGCTGACAGAAACCCACCAGCAGCAAAATATCCCTGTGCCAGGCCCAGGTGACCATGAGCCAAACATTCCAGTGAAAGGCCCCAGTGAGCAGGAAAAGAAGCTTGGGTAAGTGCCCCCTTCACTCCAGCAGGAGAACTCAACAGTTTTTTTTTTGTAAAAAGTCAGAGAATAGGCAAACATCATGAACAAAAAGCAGAAACGGAAAATGACCATAAATTCTTATTTTGGGGAAAGGGAAGATTAAAACACAAATTCAGGAGAGGATAACATTGTCAGTTTATTCACATCTGAACCCTCAAAGGGGAATATGAATTGGTCTCAAGCCCAAAAAGTCTTCTTAGAAGACTTCAAGAAGGATTTTAAAAGTCAAATAAGAGAGGTGGAAGAAAAATTGGGAAAAGAAATGAGAGGTGTGCAAGAGAGAGTCAATAGCTTGGAAAAGAAAGGACAAAAATTAACTGTAGAAAACAACTCCTTAAAAAGTAGAATTGGCCAAATGGAAAAGGATGTGCAAAATATAATAGAAGAAAACAACTCCTTAAAAAGTAGAATTGGCCAAATGGAAAAGGATGTGCAAAATATAATAGAAGAAAACAACTCCTTAAAAATTAGAATGGGGCAAGTGGAAGCTAATGACTCTATGAGAGATCAAGAATCAGTCAAACAGAAGCAAATGAATGAAAAAATACAAGAAAACGTAAAATACCTCATTGGCAAAACAACTGACCTGGAAAATAGATTTAGGAGAGACAGTTTAAAAATTATTGGTCTACCTGAAAACCATGATGAAAAAAGAGCCTGGACAACTGGAAATCATTAAAGAAAACTGCGCTGTCAGAGGTCATATAAGTCATGGAAAGAATCCACTGATCACCTCCTGAAAGAGATCCCAAATTGAAAACGCCAAAGAGCATAGTAACTAAATTCCAAAACTACCAGATCAAAGAGAAGGTACTGCATGCAGCCAGAAAGAAATAATTTAAATATCATGGAAACACAGTCAGGATTATGCAGGACCTTACAGATTGGATGGCATGGAATACAGTATTCCATAAGGCAGAGGAGCTTGGATTGCAACCAAGGATCAACTATGCAGCTAAACTGAACATAATCTTTCAGGGGAGGAGATGGACATTGAATGAAATAGGGGACTTCCAAATCTTCCTGATGAAAAGACCAGAGCTCAACAAAAAATTTGATCTTCCAAAACAAGACTCAATAAAAGTATAAAAAGGTAAACAGGAAAAAAAAAACAACATCATATTGTCAATAAGGGCAAACTGTTTACATCCCTACGATGTAAGATAACACTTGTAACTCTTAAGAATTGTAATGTCATTATGACATTTAAAAGAGGATATACTTAGAGGGTTTGGGTTTAATTGACTTTGATGTGATGGTAAAAAAATCTAATTAAGTGGTGAAAAGGTATTGTACTGGGAGAAGAAGAAAGGAGGCAGACAAGGATAAATTATATCCCCTGAAAAGGCACAAAAACCAAATACAGTAGAGGGAAAGAAGGGAGGGAGTTGAGCATTGTTTGAACCTTACTGTCATCACTCAACACATTTGGTTCAAAGAAGGAATAACATAATCAGTTAGGTATAGAAATCTTACTTTCTCTATAGGAGGTAGAAAGGGTAAAGGGAAAAGAAAATGGAGGGGGCTAATAAAAGGGAGGGCAGACTGAGGGAGATGGTGGTTGAAACCAAAACTCTACTGAGGAGGGAAAGGGAAAAAGGAGAGAAAAAAGCATAAGTGAGGGGAAAGGGGAATAGGATGGAGAGGAAGACACAGATAGTAATCATAGCTGTGAATGTGAATGCAATGAAACAGATAGCAGAGTGGAGTAAGAATTGTAAACCTACAATATATTGTCTGCAGGAAACACATTTGGTGCAGAAGTATACACACAGAGTAAAAATAAAAGGCTGGAGCAGAATATATTATGCTTTAGCTGAATTTAAAAAAAAGCAGAGGTAGCAAAAATAGATCTAATTAAAAGAGATAAGGAAGGAAACTACATCCTGCTAAAAAGTACTATAGGTAATGAAGTAATATCGTTGCTAAACATATATGCACCAAGTAGTATAGCAGCCAAATTCTTAAAGGAGAAGTTAAGGGAGATACAGGAAGAAATAGACAACAAAACTATGCTAGTGGGGGACCTCAACCTCCCCCTCTCTGAACTAGATAAATCTAACCACAAAATAAACAAGAAAGAAGTTAAAGAGATCAATAGAATCTTAGAAAAGTTAAATATGGTTGACCTGGAGAAAACTGAATGGGGACAGAAAGGAATATACCTTTTTCTCAATGGCACATGACATCTACACAAAAATTGACTGTGCACTAGAGCATAAAAGCCTCACAATCCAATGCAGAAAGGCAGAAATATTAAATGCATCCTTTTCAGATCATGCTGCAATAAAAATTACATGTAATAAAGGGCCATGGAAAGATAGACTTAAAAATAATTGGAAATTAAATAATCTAATCCTGAAGAATGAATGGATCAAACAACAAATCATAGAAACAATCAATAAGAGAATGTCAATAATGAGACAACATACCAAAACTTACAAGATGCAATGAAAGCAGCCCTTAGGGGAAGTTTTATATCTCTAAATGCTTATATGAATAAAGTAGAGAAAGAAGAGATCAATGAATTGGGCATGCAACTAAAAACACTAGAAAGAGAACAAATTGAAACTCCCCAATTGAATACCAAATTAGAAATTCTGAAAACCAAAGAAGAGATTAATAAAATTGAAATTAAGAAAACTATTGAACTAATAAATAAAACTAAGAGCTGGTTTTATGAAAAAACAACAACAACAACAATAAAATAGATACTTCAGAATTGTTTTAATTTGCATTTTTTCCAATCAGTCGTGAGTTGAGTATTTTTTCATAAGGCTTGGATTACTTCATCTGAAAACTGATCATATCTTTTGATCATTTATCAATTGGGGAATGGCTCTTTTTATAAATTTGACTCAGTTCTCTATGTGTTTGAGAAATGAGGCCTTTGTGAGAGAAACTT